CCATTGCTACACTTAGCTAGAGCTAGGATGAAATCAACTTTACAGATTCCAGTACTACACCTACTTAGCTAGAATTAGAATGAAATCAACTGTATACATTTTAGTGCTACACTTACTTAGCCATAGCTAGGATGAAATTAACTTGTTCATTATGTGACTCAGTTCATAGACATCGAAGACCTCAAAGAAAAAAAAATCAGTCTTATCTTCATTAAGGTTCCTTACTGTGGATTTCCTACTCCAGTGACTTTTAGATTTTAATAATGTTGTCACATGGACATGATGTCACAAAGCCCTGTTTAGTACCACTGTAAAATATGTGATTTACTATAGGGTCACATCGTATTTCTCTCATATGCCATTTACCTCATGTAATCTTGCCCTCACAAGATAGTCTACATACAGCTAGTCTTGAGAGAGCTGTTTTTGTGCCCCACTTTTTCTCAAAAATGGGGGTTATAGTATCCATCTGTCTGACAGCTATCATGGACAAGCATTAAATTAATGACCCTTTTTTAAGATAATAGAAAAGTAATATGGCTTTTGGTATGTGCAGTAATATGGTTTTTGGTATGTGCAGTAATATGGTTTTTGGTATCTGCAGTAATATGGTTTTTGGTCCATGTACACCAAAAGTATGTAGAACCTATCTATATTTTGTAATAGGAGTTGACTTTTGTATTGGATGTTGTTGATGTGAATATAGCCAATTATTTTCAACAACCATATTGTCAATTTGAACAAAACTTCATACTGAATTAAATTGCATAAATATAATAAATGTGCTATGTCTATGTATTGGATACAAATATAATACTGTTTAACAGTGCTATTGTCATGTTGTGACTGATAAACAACCAATTAAAAGGTCATGGTATGGTCTGTCATTTAGTAACATTTAGGAATCAATTTGAATTCTTTCACACACACACACACACACACACACACACATATATATATATATATATATATATATATATAGAGAGAGAGAGAGAGAGAGAGAGAGAGAGAGAGAGAGAGAGAGAGACTGATCGGCATTATGGCCTGGTGATGTTTCTTCTAATTATGGCACATCTTTAATGATCTCATTGCAGAGGTAGTGCTTGCAAATTAAGAGCAGTACACTGATCTAGAAGTTAATCACGTGTGTATTGTAGCAGGCAAGAACTTAGGCACAAAACTGCATGTCTGTGAATGTGATATTAGGTCAAAGGTCACATTAAAAATATAACAATTAAAAACCTCAAATAATGTACTTTGCCTCAAATTTTCACTTTAAAATACTCAGTTTTGATAATTTTGACTTTAATTAAAAGTACAAAACAATGGTAAATACTGATCCTTTCCTATATAAGTGTAGAATAGAACTAATAAAGAAAAATTTCAGCTCACAAAATGATTGCTGGAAGTCCATATTTATATCAGTTAAGAGTAGCCCTCCATGTGACTGAGTGGTCTTTGGAACTTACCTTTACTCATCACAGTCATCATACCTTTGTCAATGTGGGTTCAAGTCCTAGGCTTAGCTATTGTGGGTATGTGAGAATGCTCGCTTGTAGCTTCTTGTTTGGTAGTTTTCTTAGATTGTATCTCCACTAGTTATACTGGCCATTACTTGTGGCCTATCTTGTGCTGAAAAATGGCATTAATATACTGGCCATTACATGTGGCCTATCTTTTGCTGAAAAATGGCATTAATATACTGGCCATTACATGTGGCCTATCTTGTGCTGAAAAATGGCATTAATATTCTGGCCATTACATGTGGCCTATCTTGTGCTGAAAAATGACATTACATCTACAACAGCATCATCAACGAAGATGATGATGGAACGAAAAATAACTTCAAAGAAAAATAAACATATATATTAATCCAAACACCAAATTGAACACAGTCACAATATAATGAAAATGGAAAAAGTCCCAAGTAGGAATGCACTAAATGTATCCAAAAGGTGTATGAGACAAAGGTACTTCCAGATCAATATTTAAGGTATCATTTAAAGCCCCTTCCTATTTGTGAAGTAAAATTCACCCATTAAAATGTATAAACCAGCTACACTTTTCTTCACCCACTTAAACTGAGTACATTTCAATATTACCTGTGTTTGTCATAAACTCATGATGCAAACATTTTACACACCTAAAAACTGTCCTGCAAAAAGACATTGCTGCATCCTTACTGATGATCCTCATCTTCTGGATCAGTCTGCTTACTTTTGGTACCCAGTCCAAGAAGTGCTTTCACTCTATATAATCTTAAACCTTTCCTAAACTGCCAATCTTGATCATTATCTGCAAGAAAATTCAAGTTATAAATGCTATTGTCTCACAATTTTCACATTAGTCCACATACATGATAGATATGATTTTCTCAGTTTCCATTCCTCCATTCTTGTGAGCTTCACAACCAAATCTTGTTAACTGAAAATTTCAATTATTTCAACCACAGCAAGCAAACTAGGAAGATTCACAGAATTACTTTTCCATGCATTAGATATGTTATTCAGCCATTTAGTGTTGTTAGGTTTTGCTTATTTTGGAGCAAGTCATATATTCATATACTGACACTCTAACTCACAACTCTTTCTTTAACAGAAGACAAACATCCTCAAATATTAAATCAGTTTCTGTAAAATCAGACACTGACCCAGTCAAACCTCAACATCTGCCATTTGAAAATCTTTTAAAATATTTTATTGCCAAATGACCAATATTTGTTTCCAAAGTAATTTGGTGTTAGACTTTGCATTCTCTTGGAATCCTGTCTAACCATTTTGTCATCTTTCAAAGCAACAAAGGAGGATCAATGAAAATTTTTTGCCACCTTTAATTTTTTGTTGTGTAATGTCTTTCCATGATGACAGCAGAGTGAGAAATGTGTCATGAGCTGGAAAATCTTGGGTCATTTACCCTAATCTCACACCAAATGTCTCCTGATAAGTCCTGACATTAACTTAATAGAGAAATAAGCTGGGACAAGTCTGGAAATATTAGAGCCAGTATTACATATCACATAGAGAACAATTACTTTACTTGTCATCTTGTTTAGTATTATTTGAATCACCGTTGCTTCACAAAGATGACTAAAAGATCAGTTATTAACATAAAATATGTCATTGCATTAACAAGCTTGATAACCATACACAAATCTATATAATTATATGCATTAACAAGCTTGACTACCATACACTCATCTATACAATAATATGCATTAAGTAGCTTGACTGCCATACATTAATCTAAACAATTATATATATCAACAAGCTTGACTACCATACACTAATCTATACAATTATATGTATCAACAAGCTTGGCTACCAATCACTCATCTATACTATCATATGCATCAACTAGCTTGGCTACCAATCACTCATCTATACAATTATATGCATCAACTAGCATGGCTACCAATCACTCATCCATACTATCATATGCATCAGCTAGCTTGGCTACCATACACAAATCTATACAATTATATGCATTAACTAATTCAACAAGCTTGACTGCCATCACTCATAAATACACTTATATGCATTAAATAGCTTGACTACAATCATACACTCATGTATACAATTATGAGCATTAACTAGTTTGACTAACATAAATTAATCTATATAATTATAAGCATTAACTAGCTTGATTATCATACACTCATTTATACAATTATATGCATTATGTTGTTTACAAATGACCCTTTCATTCTACACTCATGGACAAAAGTTGGCTGTGTAAATATGTTGTTTACAAATAACCCTTACATTCTACACTTGTGGACAAAAGTTGGCTGTGTAAATATGTTGTTTACAAATGACCCTTACATTCTACACTCATGGACAAACGTTGGCTGTGTAAATATGTTGTTTACAAATGACCCTTACATTCTACACTCATGGACAAAAGTTGGCTGTGTAAATATGTTGTTTACAAATGACCCTTACATTCTACACTCATGGACAAAAGTTGGCTGTGTAAATATGTTATTTACCAATGACCCTTACATTCTACACTCATGGACAAAAGTTGGCTGTGTAAATATGTTGTTTACAAATGACCCTTACATTCTACACTCATGGACAAAAATTGGCTGTGTAAATATGTTGTTTACAAATGACCCTTACATTCTACACTCATGGACAAAAGTTGGCTGTGTAAATATGTTGTTTACAAATGACCCCTACATTCTACACTCATGGACAAAAGTTGGCTGTGTAAATATGTTTACAAATGACCTTTACATTCTATACTCATGGACAAAAGTTGGCTGTGTAAATATGTTGTTTACAAATGACCTTTACATTCTACAATCATGGACAAAAGTTGGCTGTGTAAATATGTTGTTTACAAATGACCCTTACAGTCTACACTTATGGACAAAAATTATACAAAGTATATAAGTATATATATATATATATATATATATATATATATATATATATATATATATATATATATATATATATATATATATATATATCATTGCTTTTAAGCTTGCTTATTCGAATTATAAGAAATCGGCTTCTACTGGACTTAGTAAAGTTAAGCAACCTTACATCATGAGCCTGGACTTGCATGAAATCGATAAGATAATTTTCAGTCATAAACAATTAAAACATTTTTAACCTCTAATAAACCTTCGCTCAAGCCAAAAATACACTTTACATAGTGGATCACATACTAAGTCATTTCTCACATTGCTCGCTCATGTGATCCGAAATTTCATGGTCTACCTTTAATTTTTCTCAGATTTTAAATGAGCAAGTGATACAAAATACCTATGAAGGAAAAAGATCAATTTCGGTCGATATGTCATCATGTGATTAAACATTATTACTGAGAAGTCTGTTTATATATTGGCTTATTCAGGTTACAAATTAGATTCGAATTCCTATGCTCAATTTTCACGAAAGAATATTCATATTTGTCCCGGCCGGTCTATAGGTATAAATACGCCAAATTTATCACTGATCCATCTCAATTATGCTTTTGTCTTCGGAAACGCTCTGGTAGCCTAGTGGTTAGAGCATTCGCCTCGGATGCAGGAGGTCGTGGGTTCAAAACTCCGGCCGAGTCACACCAAAGACTTTTAAAAAATGGTGCTAGCAGGTGCCTCGCTAGGCGCTCAGAATTAGGACATCACTATATAAACTGTCACACTGCAGACATTGTAGCGATATGACTGGGGAAAAAATGGTTAAAGCTATGTCAAAAAATCTAAATCACACTCATCACATTTACGTCTTTGGACCACATTAATAAAAAAAATAAGAATCGTTCGCTGGCAGGTCGTTTACCATGTTTCGATTTTTAATTTATGGTTCTCCTGTCTTATTTGCCTTAGAAATTGTCTGTATCGTTTTATACACACTTATACAACTGCATACGCGCTTGTGTGCTTACTTACCATCCGGCACATCTATAATAGTCTGACTATACATCCCCGTTTGTTTGTACCCCACTCCCGATTTAAATAATGAATAAGTTTAGTGGGATAACAATGCACAGAAATGAATCATTGATTTATAATTTCTAGCCTAAATATGACCAGAATGGCACTGATACTAGCATCCCATTGCACCTTTCCTGCTTAACGGACTTTCCATACTAACACGGTGCCATATTGGGTACATTATGGGTATCAGACAACATAATGACGTAGTTCATCGTATTCGGTAACTGCCGAATAATTACGTAAATTTCCATAACGTTGAGAATTTGGAATTTTATCCCTTTGCACACACGAGCATATTCATTAACCGCTTGTTAAATCCATGTGGAACGCATTTTTTTTTTGTCATTCTTTTCCTTTGCTTGATTCGACAGCGTAAATATCGGATGCAGACGACATATATATGTACATCTGTAGTCATCTACACACTCCTTTGCTGAAAATAAGGACCTCGAGCATGTCCATTTATTTTATTGAAAACTTCCGTTAAGCATGAAACGCGCAGACGATGACGGTTGTTAGGGCCATTCTACAAACATTCCGGTTAGAAAATATGAATCAATGAATTAATTGACTACGTTCCTTGCACCCTTTTTTAGATCACATTGAAGGCTTCCATTAATGAAATTGGTAGGGTGATACAAACAAACGTGTTGGTATAGTCTGAATTCATACTGAATTCTTTCGAGATAAATGCAGTTTTAAAGGTCATGGAGTTTTGATTATTGAATTTGCTGTTTATTTTTTGCCATAAGAAAATACCATGCAAAATATGTTATGTTTTATCTTCCAAAATGGATGCAATAACAGAAGGGGGGGGGTAAATTGCTGACTGGTTATGCGACTGTTTTGCATAGAATGACACTAATGACCGATGCCGTTTTTTTTTTGTTGAATATAACGCGTGACCAACTAGGACTATTTAATATAGTACATACATTAATTACATATACCATCGTTTGTTATACATACAATCGTTTGTCATACATAACAAGTGACCGACTACCAACATTGTAGATTCAGATCGGATGTCATCTAATTCTCCGTAAAATTAGGGTCAACATTGCTTATTCTATGTATGAGTAAATGAGCATGTAGCTAGATCGCATTATTCGTCATTTTTTACGATATTCCCTCTTAATTTGGCAGGATAAAATAATATTCACTCTAAATTAGGCTGGATCAAATGGTATATCATGTTGTATACCATTCCTTCTTAATTAGGTAGAATAGGATCAGCATCACGACCAACCTAAAGGTCTACAGGGCAGTTGTACTCCCCACATTACTCTACGCATGGGAAACGTGGACGGTTTATCAACGCCATGCCAGGATGCTGAACCACTTTCATACTACAAGCCTCAGGAAAATAATCAATATCAAATCGCAGGACAAAGTCCCAGACACCGAGATACTAGCCAAAGCAGGTCTCTCCAGCATTCACACCATTCTGATGCAGTCCCAGCTATGCTGGGCGGGATATGTTGTACGCATGCCAGAACACCGGCTGCCTAAGAGACTCTTCTATGGCGAGTTACAGCAAGGACAGAGTTCCCACGGAGATCAGAACAAACACTTCAAAGACAATTTGAGAGCTGCATTGAAAGCGTTGCGCATAGACCCTGACTCATGGGAGCAAGCAGCTAGCGATCGAGTCACTTGGCGTTCCTATCTTAACAAAGGCTCCAAGCTGTGTGAATCGAGCAGGATAGCAGCTGCAGAGATAAAGAGGCAAGTCATAAAAGCACGTGCCAGCGACCCCCCTGGAGATGTCCCACTTATCCAGTGTCCATTCTACAACCTAACCTTCATTGCAAGGATTAGCCTTATCAGCCACCTGCGCACACACAGAACAGAACCAGTCCCTCCAACTCACGGATGACTAGAGTGGTCTTTTTTCGACTCGACGGACGAACAACAATTAGGTAGAATATGATATTCTATCATTTTATATAATATTCATTTGCAGTTGCAAGAAGGTCACCATATATAATTATTGCTATTCTTCTTTTGCTATACCCTATTAATGAATTAGGCAACCTTGAGCCCGGATTACCTGTTTATTTATGAAAAATAAAGCTTCCTGCGAAAATGAAATGAAACTATAAGGTCAATAACGTCATACCGAAGCCTCTTACTGACCACGAGATGTCTCTAATTGTCTAATTGGGTTAGCTCATCTTGTTACTTTATCGCTGACATTTGTATTTCATTTCTTTATGCGCGTATGTTTACGTGCTGGTCACTCAACGTTGGTCGCTCACCCTCTCTGCTGCTGTAATAAACCAAAAATTTTATCGAGACCTATACGAAATCGTGACCGAGGGTCATGTAAATTTATCGTTACGTCAAAGCCAAAACCAAAATCACCAGCCCGATTCACCGAACAGGGTTGTAAACTACTTCTAGAGAGAGGTTGCCACAGCAAGATATCTACATCATGACAGATTATCAGATCCAGAAACCGCTAGTCTTTCAGAAAAAAATGGATTCTTTTTATATTTCGGATGTCTGATAATATATCCAGCATTACTGGCAAATACCGGGTTAAATTTACAGAATTTGAGAGACCTGTTAAATAGGCTAAAATGTGCTATTACACGGGTATATATCATCACCAGAAAAATAGCTATTCAGACCATTTCGTATTGAAGAAGAAACAGCAGGAAGTGATATTGGTACGGGTACCAGTGGAAGTGTTTTTCTTGCTCCATGTCCCAATACTCTTCTTACTGATGTTAAACGATTATAAATTTTAATCGGTGGAAAACATACAGGTAGTATTTCCCCAGAAATCGTTAATGAATCAACTGATATTTGTCAACGATTACTTACAGGAGGTATCATGTATATTAATGTTTATCTATCCCTCATTCATGAAATCGTTGATAATTACCACAGTGATTAAAGGAATGCAATTAGATGCAATGACTAAAATAATAGGATCATACATAATGCTCATCGTGGACCTGTAATTGTCAGAGTTATAAATTCGTAATTACCAACCTATAAAGCGATCTAAGGAGATGGATTCAGTGATCTTGATCATTGTCTATTCAGAAGGATAACCCCAAAGCCATACCGATTGCAAAGAAACTGGGAATGAAAAGCTATTGACGTTGTTCATGAAAAGGGTGTTGATGATGTTGCCGGTAAAGCATTCTCAGCAATCAAGAATATACTAGCACGATTAATACAACGAAAACCTCAGCCAGTAAAATGATCCAGCACTGAAGTGATGACTGAAAATGTTAGTAAAATAACAAATCAAGCTGCGGAAAAAAAACTAGCAGAGTTAGTTGGTGTACCACTATCGGAAAAGGAAAAAAAAATGTAACTGCTAGTCTTATAGCTGGAAGTGGTCTTCATGCTCGCGTGGGCAAATTGAGCTGCAAGATCAGGATACAAGCAGATATTTCTTACCCGCTGGAGCATTTTTTGAAGTAGAAGGTAGACTTTTACAAGCAGATAGTACAGGAATCGGAATTGGTGATTTATCTGTTCTTGTTTTAATGGGATTATAACGTTATTTAAAAGTTCAATATACATGATTGGGGAAAAATATTGAATCAATTCAGAATGATGTCGATATTGCCTAGACAATACTTGGCCTTATAAGATACAGTGATGATTACTCAAGACCAGCTGGTCCGTCTATGATGTTTGCAGAAAGCAGTAATGTAACTATAGGTACCGTAAGAGCTGCAGGAGGAGCTGCTGATGCTTCTGCATTTTTATCAACGAAAGCAAATTTCAACTTAGTCGATGAAACTTAAATGATGAAGAAGACTTTTCATGTGTGCTTCCACTATCACATATTTTTTTTGTAGAAATGTCAGAAAGGTTATTTTTGGAGCCAGGCTTACAGTTGTTATTAGAAAAGACAACGACAATGATGCAATTTGAGACCTGATGCAAGTGGTGCATGTATAGTAAGACTAACAAAACTTTCGTTTTGGATGACAGTAATGACTCCAACAATACATGAAGAAAAAAGTTTACGTTTTTATGAGTCAAGGTGGTAAACCAGCGTTATCATGGTTGACGATAATCACAGATAGTATTTCAAGTGAAGTTGCTAATTTATTTATGTGGCATATAGCATCACAGCAGGGTGTTTCTGCACCGCGACATATATTCATCTCATTTCAGGAAAATGCACGAGAAAACACACAAACACGAAAACCGATGATATGTGACACGCTTAGAGCTAGTGAAATTTCTTTAAGGATAAATGGGCATCAAAAATCAGTTGAGGACATATTGCTGAATTTTGATCGCAATCATATAGCACGTGCTTATCATCGGTTGATGACATTTATGGGGTGTGATCAGGATGTTAATTCTGGTTTGCAGATATCGAAGCGGGATTTTACAAGGCTGTATCCGATATATTACTTTTCGTTGGAATATTTGGATTCATTTAGACAATCTGTCGTTGATATACACTTCCGAGCTCGTGTAGCACGATCACCACCAAGAATACCTGGTCCACCGGTTATTCCTGGTGGTTACAGAGCAATCTTTGTTATACTCTCAGATCAGTCAATGTTATTTGAAGATGGTGGTGGACGAACGAGGGTCATTGATGCTCCAGTAGAAAACATGTAATTAAATCGTTCATGTC